ATAAATCATCCTAAGAGTTATTTTTCTAATATATCCAATTTGTACAATTCCTAGAGTTTTAAAAAGATAGTAAGTTCTTTTTGAAGCCTGCCAATAATATAAAGTCATTTGGTTCCTAAATTGAGTTCGTTTAGCTGGACTTGAAGTTTCTGTCTCTATTACTTATCTAAGATAAAATGCATTAGCTAAGGCTAATACTCTATTTTTCAATCTAGTAGCTTGTAATAAAGCTCTATAAGTAGTTTTAATTTTTTGCGCAGTTGAATCAGTCTCTATGTAAGGTAGAAGAATATTAGTATCTACTAAGATGTTAATAGCCATTAAATCATCCTTAATTTCTTGAAATAAAGTTATCATGCTGAAAATTTTTGAGAAATTTTTAAAGGATCTGATCCTTTATATAACAATCTGAGGCTTCCAATTTTGACAATCATAATAAGATTTTAATAGATTTCTATTTACAAGTATACATAACACTCTTCTATCTATTTTTCTTATCTTATACAATTCATTCATTAAAACCTGATGGATATAGTAAGGTCCTTTTAATTTTAGGTTTAGTTTGCTAACTATTGTTTATCTTTAGCTGCATTATAGTAAAGAACTTTATCTTCAATTTCAAATTGATAAAGATGATTAATTTATCTATCATGATAATTCTTTTGTTTTTGTTATGTTATTGCAATACGATTTCTTGCAATTTCTTTAGTTTGTGGTAATTGATTAACCAAATTTTGTAAATGTTTAGATAACGTGACATTTTGATTATTAAGATTATCCAAAGATAATGTTGTATTTCTCCTATGTATTAGATAAAAAGGAGATATTTTTGTGACAGAGTGTTTGCTTGTACGATATGCAAACAAGGTTGGTGCAATTTATAGATTCTAATTATCTAAATTTTGTGCAGTTTTTGCTAAAGATTCATATAAGATACAGTTAAAATATTCCACTAAACTATTTGTTTAGGGGTAGTAGGATATTGATAGTAGATGTTTGATTTTAAACTTATCTATCAACTCCTTGATTATTTGATTATTAAAATGAGTTCCTCTATCAGAAAGGATTTTTATAGAGCATCCGTAATGACAGATTATGTATTTATAAATAAATAAGACAACCTGTTCTACAGTAACTTTAAAAACAGCTTTAACTTCAGGCCACTTAGTAAAATAATCGACAGCTACAATGATATATTTATTTCCATTTGACGTTATAAGTAAAAGTCTAATAAAATCTATACCAATTTGATAAAAAGATGCTTAAATTTGTATAGGGTATAGCTCTTCATGTTACTTTAGTTTTCTTCTTCTTTGGCAGCTATCGCAAAAATGAACATATTCTTTAATATTTTCATATAATTGTAGCTAATAGTATTATTTCTTGATTTTATTGAATATTATATCCACTGCAAAATGTTTAGCAATTTTGTCATTATGCATCATATAAAGTATAGCTTCTATTTCATGTGATCAAATGACTCTAAGAAGCTTTTAACGAACATATTTATACAAATAATTATTTTTAATTTCAAAATATCTAGATTGTTTAACTAATTTTTATTGCTGAGTTAGTGTTAAATTATCTGGTAAAGTTTGGTTTTGTAAATAATTAAAAAGATGATTATATTGTATTATATCTATTATGAGCTGTTTGTCATACTGTAAACACTTTAGCTTTTATTCAAATAAATATATTTTAATAAATGTTATGATAGATGAGAGATTAATAAAAGGATGGAGAATAATATCTAACATTTCATAAAGTTGAGAATATGCATTTTCTTGTTAAACTAAAACTAGTTCTTTTCACCATATGTCATTAACTAGATAAGTTAGTTTTATATCAGGGTGAATTTTTCCTCTTTCATATCTTATAATACAATCATGAATCATTGTACCATAAGATAAATTCTTTTTACATGTTTTACAGTAGGTGTAAATATGATGATTCTCAATATTTCAGGTAAAAGTACATTGAGATCCTCCTTTGGTTATAGATTAGTTGGCTATAACCAATTTAATTTTAATATTTTCACGATATATTTCTTTTATTTTATCCTTTGAACTTTTATATTTTACTGCAATAATTAAAGATACATTGGAAAATTGTTGAAATAATTGTTTTTCAAACCATGATTCTTTATTATCTTTAATAGAATTATGCTTAGAAGAAATATGCTATTCATTCTTTAATTCTCCAACTTCAACAGTAGTTACCATAAAAACTTCACATGTATAATCTTCATATTTTTGATCAGTATTAATTCGAGAAAGAGCATCAGTATTAGCATTTAGTTTTCCAGGCCTATGATTAATTTCAAAATCATATTGTTGGAGTTTCATGATCCATTGTACTCTCCTTCCTTTAGGAATTTTTAATATTTATAACTATTTAAGAGCTAAATAGTCGATAATAATAGTAAAAGGTTATGAGCTTAAATAATAATAAAAGTATCTTACAGCCCATACAACTGCAAGGCATTCCTGATTAGTTATTCCATAATTTTACTCAGCTTTATTCATACTTCTGCTAGTATATGCTACTATACAATTGAATCCATTTTCTAACTTTTGAGAGAGAACAGCTCCTAAGCTATTTGTAGAAGCATTAGTATATAAGAATAAACAGTTTATTAAAATTTGGATACTGCAAAATGGTGCAGTAATTAATTTTTTCTTTAAAATATCAAAAGCCTTTTGTTAAGCATCTGTTCAAGAGAAAGCTTCTTTCTTTTTCAACAATTGAGTTAAAGATTTGGCAATTTTTAAAAATCCTGAAACAAATCATTAATAATATGAGAATAATCCTAGTACAGACCTAAACTTGTTAAGTTAACTGAAATGGAAAAGCTTTTAACTTTATCAATTTTTGCAGGATTAGGTTGTAATCCATTCCTTCTAACCATATGTTTCAAATACATTATATTAATTAGATAAAAGTGACACTTTTTAAGCTTGATTATTAAATTTGCTTGCTTGATAGCTTGGAATACTTTTCTCAAATGTTGAATATGATTCTTATAAGTTGTTAAGTAAATAATGATATCATTTAAATAGATAGCAATGAATTTATACAAGAATTCTTGAAGAATATGATTTATTAACCTTTGAAAAGTTGCTAGTGTATTCTTTAAACAAAAGGCATAACATTAAATTTGTATAGGCCAAACTGAGAAATAAAAGCAATTTTTTCCTTGTCTTTTTCACTCATTTCTACCTGCCAATAGCCACTAGCAAAGTCAAATGTGAAAAACCAATTTGCTTCTTTGAATTTCTCTAATAAATCATCAATTCTCAGTAGAAGATATGCATCACTTTTAGAGATAGAATTTAATTTTCTGTAATTAATGCAGATTCATTTATCTCCAATTTTTTTTGCTACTATAACTACAAAAAAAAAAAGCCCAAGGGCTTAATGACTTTCTAATAATTCCATTTTCTTCCATATGCTTGATTTTATCTTTGAGAAAATTAAGTTTCACTGGATCTTTATACTTATAAGCTCCTGTGATAATTGGATCATGATTATTGGTCAAAATATTATGTTTTACCAAACTAGTTCATCTAATTTTTATTTGGCTTAGAGCACATATATCTTTGTAATTATCAATTAATTTTTGAAAAGACGTTTATTGCTTATTATCAAGAGGCCCAATTTAAAGGTCATCTTTAATTTTCCAAATATTTTCTTTAGAAGTTTCAGTAATAAATACTGCTGGATTAGGCTCAAATTCTTCCTTAAATGCAAGGGTTAAATAGACAGAGTTTTCTTCATTCCATGGATTGTAGTCGAGAGGTAAAAGGTCAGTTTCCTCCTCATATTCTTCTTGACTATCTGTCATATAAGCTTCAATTTTGCTAAGTTCTTCCTTCTCATAATTATCTAAAACTTATTCTTATTCATTATCTTATTGATCTTGAGTAGTAGAATAACTAACAAAAGCTTCATTTGCACTAGAAGTTACAGGAACTGTAATTGTTTTCGCTAAATATCTTAATCTAATCTGATTGGTTCTAAAATCAAGGCTAGCATGAGTTTTTCTAAACCAGTCCATTCCTAGAAGTAAAGTTTCATCTTAAGAATTGATAACTTGTAAAGAGATAGGAATTAATAGATTTTGAATAACAATTTGAACCCTTTTAACTTATCCTAATACTCTAGTTCTTTCTCCATTAGCAGTGACTATAATAGTATTAGACTATTTATCAATAGATAACCCAACTTTCTTCATTAATTTTCTAGTGATAATGCTGACAGTAGCTTCAAAATCTAGAATAGCAATTACAGAATTTTCTTTAATTCTGATATAATAGTGAATAGCTATAGATTTGTCTTTTTTTTTTTCCTCACTTTCTTGATTAGCATAATTTGTTTCTTGAATTTTTGGTCTCCTCAACTCTTAAGTAAGATTGCATCTTTAATTTAGATATTGTAAAAGTTGATCAATTTTTGCAAAAGAAGGCATTTGCAATAAATCTTGCTTAATATTATAGGAAGGCATTTGATCAATTTGGAATGGTTCTCATTTAACTTTCTTTTTTAAAGTAGGGGTAATAATTTGTGGGGTTTCTACTTCTATAAATTCATCAATAGGTTTTCTATTTCTCAAGTTTAATTATCTTCTGGATTCAGTTTTTCTTTTTCTTTCTACTTCTAACTGTTAAACAGTTTTTCTATTAATGATATAAGGTTTATTTCATGAAAGAATATAGACTTCTTTCTCCTCTACTTCTTCAACTTTCTCTTCTTCACTATCAGTATAAACTCTAACATAACTAGCTTCTCTTTTATCAGATTTCTTTCAGTACACTGGTTTTTCAGATATGCATTCTTTTGAATAATGTCCTTTTTCTTAGCAAAGGAAACAAATAACATCCTTTTTATCCCAAACTTTCATAAGATTTCTATCATCTTTTGGCTTTCTTCTTTCAGATTTTCCTTCAAGTTGCGTAGATAACACATTAGAGAGTTATATAGTTTAAGGATAACTGTTCTATTTATTTGGTAAGATTATCAATAGTATTATTACTTCCACTTGTTTGGATTGGTATAGGAAATTGTTGTTCATAATATTGATCACTCTCAATTTGCTTAGCTGCTTCAATAGCTTTATCTACATTTTTAGGATGAGAAAATGCTATGAGAGAGATGATATTTTTCCTTAATCTATTAAGAAAAAGTCTCATAGTATATTTATCTAGTAAGGCACTAGAAGAGTTGACTTTCTTTAACAATCTTTTAAATTTTCCTGTATAAAAATCTACTTTTTCATAAAATTCTTGGCGAAGTATATTTAACTGATGGTACCATAGATTTTATTTCTCTTCAGTTGAAAATTTTTCCAAAAATAATGGTATAAAACTTGCAGAAGTATTACCATCTTCATTTCATTGATTAATAGTATCATCATTTTCTTCAAACTAATATGCAGCTAATTCATGTAGGTACTCTAGTATAATTTTTAGCATGCGAGCTTTAGACTAATTATTTACTTCAGCAGCAATTTTAAAGCTTCTAATCCAATCATTAAGGTTTTTATCATCATTTCTATAGAAAGGTTTTACCAGAATAATATTAATTTCTTTTAGTGTAAGATTTCTACTATTTTCACCTGAACCAGACGGTATACTTTTAATATCTTTAGCAAAATCTTTGAAACTTTTCGTCATGTGATTCATGAGGTTCTTTAACTGTTCAGTATTCATTGTTATTTCAGTTGATTCAGAGGTTATAGATATAGAAATAAAGGGTGAGATAGAAGTATAAAAAGATTTTTCAAAAAACTCAGTAGTGTAGGTAACTAATAATAAATGTTGTAAAACAGAAGGTAAATCAGCAGGGTATAGGTAATAATTTAAACAATATAATAATACGACTGCTGCTTTTGTTATTTTATTACTATTATAATATTTTCATGATAACTATCTAAATAAAGTTTAAATGCTATTAAAGAATAATTATTAAATGCTGTAGTATTATATTCACTAGAGATCCAATTTCAAAAGTTTTTAAAATTCTTTGTTACTGTTTAATTAATAGGATTATAACGTACATAAGATGCATTTTTTTTCAAAGGTGAATTATTATTGTGTGCTTCTTTATGATATTTTTGGATTATTTTTAGAATGTCAAAACTAATAGATATATTCATATAAGTTTAATAAAGACAATTATAATCCTAGCAAGAATCACTAATTTGTTAACCCTATACTTAGCTGTCAAACTTAGTAACTATGACTTAATAACAGGAAATAACGTGTGAGAAACTACTAAGTTACTATAGAATAAGTCTGATCATAATCAACCTTAAGTTTATTCTTTTAGACGAGTAAATAAACTTTAATAATTTGTAAATATGATAAATACAATTGACATGTTAAAGGATTTTTAATATATATAGTTTTAGAAAGAGATTCCTTTATTGTAGAGATTTGTATCCTTAGCAATCCTTAACCTTAGATTCTAAGTCTTGAACTCGAACTATTGAGTTTACACTGTTATCTCTGCCCTTCTACAAGGATAAATTTCTATCCTATTTATATAAAATACAATTATAAGAAATTGCTATCTAATACTAAACTATTTTATAACAATAAGATAAATATAAAAGATAAATTATAATTTAACGATGATAATAATATAATAAATAATAATATAATATATGAATAAAATAATAAAAAAAATAAAAATATTAATTAAGTTAAAAATGCTAATGATATTAATAATATTGATCATTTGTTAATCTTTGTAATACAGTAAAATTGACTTCATATAGTATTAACATGCTATTACTTACCTTCTAAAACACTTCATATTAAAGGATTAAATTAGTTAATTTTCATTAAATAAATAAGATTTTGTGTTTTAGATTTATTTTTGAAAATTTTAAATACTCTAATTAGACAGAAAGAATACTTTGAAATCAATATATATTGTAAGATAAATATGTATAAGCTGTTGATTTACTTTATTCCATATGTAAAGAAGCCAATAAAATGTAAATTGCAAACTATTTCTGTATATAATAATATCTAACTGAAAACTAACTAGTATATAATAAAAGCCATTGCAATACTTTCTTAACAGTTGGTCTTCTTTGAAAATTATTATGCATTAATTTTCTAGAATACTTGTTAAGCTTAAAATATTTACTTTCAATTGATATAATCAAATAGCCTACTGATCATATATCAATACTTTTGTTATAAGAACCTAATGATATCTCAGGTGCATGACTATGTATAGCTATTCTTGTATATACAGTAGCTAATAGAGATTGGCAGGCATTATCAAAATCAATAAGAAACCATTCCTACCAATCTATATACTTTATTAAATTTTCTCATCATACATCATGATATATTAAATTCATGTTATAAAGGGCCTGATGCAATGTTTAATATTGTAAGTGATTAGTTATATATTTGTCAGATATGTATAAAGCAGAATTTATCTTTAAAGCTAACAAATACAAACCAATGCTTTGACTAACTCTTTAATGGAAAAGGGCATACATTTTTGACCCTTTGGTTCAAACAATAGTTTATGAGATTAAACATAGACTACATGATCAATGAAAGGCATTTGCCCTTCCATCTGCTAGTAAAGATTCTAAAAATTTTTGACCACCTTAATGAAAGCATAGTGTTTTATCACTGTTGTTTGCAAAATCTCAATGCATTTCCCATTCTATTAATGAATAATTAAAAACTCCTCCTGAAAAGAGGCTGATATATACTTCCTAAGTAGTAGTAATAATCGACCAATATTTCTTCCAGTATTAAAAATCTCTATACAGCCTTCAAGTGTTTAAATTGTACAGTTCTTGAAAAAAGTAATGAGAATAAAATGTAATGAAAAAAAACTTAAAAATTTTCTGCAATATACAACTTACAAAAAAATCCCACATAGTAATACAATAATCATTTTTATTTATGATAATCATCATTGTTTTTATTTTATTTATATTTTGTCAAGATTACATTAGATATATAATATTTTAAGTTATACTAAAATAATGCTATACTATAATAATCTCTTTGTGGGAAAATAGTATCTATAATGCCTAAACTTTACATCCCAATAAAAAATTTGATATAAAAATTCCATAAAAATATTAAGTTTTATAACGTATAACTTTTATGGAAAA